GGTTTGTGACACCTCAAGATAGAGCTTGAATATAACTGACTATGAATACTGACCTTAAAGATTGAAAATTGAGTTACTCTTTTTTAAGACTGCCTCAATTTTCTCTTTAGAGTGAGGTTCTACTCCAAAGAATTTAGAGGCTTTCGAAAAATTTAAAATTCTACATCTCTATTACTAACAAAATATTTTAAAAGGAGGAGGGGGGAGGAGACAACGCCTTCTTTTATTTTAGAGAAATTTGAGAATAAAATTTTGCTTGTGCCGAAAGAGATTCAGATTGTAGACGAAGGATTAAGATTAAGAACCTTATGATGGTTTTAACGACAAACGTAAGATGAGAATTCGATCCGAGTATCGCGCGTCGAGGAGTAGCATCGGCGACAGTGCTACGTACACATAGTAATACACGTTTTATCCGCGGTATCATGGGAATCTGATTTCTTCCGGATCCCCGATAGATATCTCGAGAACCCCCGACAAATGTCGCTCCGCTGGGAGAAGAAATATACAAGTTCGAGCCAAATTCAAGGATGCCGAGCGAGTGAGCGCGCCGCGAAACGGCGAGGAAATGTCGCATTGCGAGACATCTTTTACAATGCAAGACGGTGACTTTCGGCGAAAATCTCGCGCTCTCCCTCTGTTGCCATTGACCGATGGCGCTGGCGCGAGAAAAAGTTAAAGGGAAGACCTCTCGGTGTACGCCGTTTGGAAGAATATTCTTCAGAGAGAATTCCCCGCATACCCGTGAATTCGAGAGAATTTTTCCGGTCAAGACCTCGCGAGAATTCCCTTTATGCCCGCGCGACGGCTGCGTTCCCCGCTGCGAGGGAAACGCCCAACGTGTTTATTCACGCGTCTCATCGCCGTATCGGTCGGATATTTTACGGAACGAAGATTGGCTCGTGCCGTAAAACGCCGCGCCGTGACTAGGGAAGATTGACGTGTGCCTTAAGCGCGGGATTGAAGCCGCAACAACACCCGATTGTGCCCTTATACAACAACTCAATTAAATATGACTGACGTTGAACTGCAGTAAAATACGAGGGAGAAAAAAAAAGGGAAAAGCGCTCGATGCAATTCCATTTAATTGACATGTATGCACTTTGGGGGAGGCGCGACGCCGCTTGTTAACTGGATTAGGCCCTAAATAAACCTAAGTAAACCAGAGATTCTCGAAGGACACCCGGCACTTGAAGGCGTATCGTACGCCGCGTTCATTGAAAAATAGCGCGTGCTGGGAATAATTAATTATAGCTTCGACTATCCGTTACCGAGTTCTCTCTCTAACTCTTTCTTCGCTGCGAATATACTGACACATTGCACTTCGGGGGCATCTTTACCCGTTTGGCGCATAGATTCGTTTGATATCGTTTGCAGTGTTCCAATAAAGGCCTCGTCCCCGATCGCGCCGATAGCCGATCGTAGTGCATTTTCCATTCTTTCTCTCTCTCTCTCTCTCTCTCTCTCTCTCTCTCTCTCTCTTTGTTTCTAAGATCACCGAGTTACACAGTTCACCATGATTCCTAATGAATCATTCTGCGCTTTCGCAATACATCGTCGAACCACGTAATTGTATTAGCAAATCGATTTGTCGGCCTGACAACTGCCGTCCGGCCTGGCGAGAAATAGCTTGCCGCTTGCGCAGACACACAGCTGATAGATGGTCGTCTCCTTTTGACTCTGATGAGCGGACGAGGATCTGCCAGTGTGTTGTTGTTGCTGTTGCTGTTGCTCCCTGGATGAGTGTCCTTGTACCGGGATCGCCGTCTTCAGGCCCTTTATGTAGGCAGACTTGGCGTCAAGCCGGATGGCTCCATGAACGCTCTGCAGTTTCAAATCCGTCAAGCAAGAAGCTGAAATCTCGTTCGCCCAGGACTCGATCACCACCCGCTGAGGAGCACTTATCTTCAAGGATCTCGTTGCTGATTCGAGCCTATAGCATAGTAAATAGTTCGATTTATATGTGCTGTATGTAGAACTTTCTCTACTTCTTTTGTTTTATATTTTAACGACAAATTTCTTTGTTAACACGAAGACAATTTTTTCTTAACGAAAATATCGAGGCGCTAATAATTTCCAAACGTTACAAACGATTGAAGAAAGAGGTTTTTCCGCAAACATTTTCCTCCTTTAGATATCAAGAAGCCAATTCTTCAACTAATTTTTCAAACGGAATTTACGTTAATAGAATTTCAACTTCCAACTTAAATCATAGAGATATATGATGTTAAAGATTGGAAAGCCATAAATGATAATAAATTCAATGTTTTAAAATACTGATTAATTCGTTGTAAAGAAAAATTATGTGTAAGAAATAGAAATTTATATACGTATGTTATTACATAACTTAATCTTTATATAAAACATTTTTTATAATACATAAAATGAACAATATGAATTAACACAATGCACAGAATATTCATCAATTGGGATATGTTCAAGTAACAATATCATCATTAGACTTCCAAAGCCGTGAACTACATCGTGTGTCGCCATTAGCTTTCGAAACACGATTATTCCCCACGAATTATCACCGATTATCAGTCCACGTGATTAATTGACTTCCATGATTTACGATTTGATGAACATATCGAAGCGATGGCTATTTATCAAAAAAAGATACGCAGCAATTTATCAAAGAATATTTTGCACGATTTAATTATGAATCACGAATCAATATGTGAATCAAAACAGTAGAGATGTAAATAATTGTTTTATTTCAATAACTACAATGATCATCTCTTTAATAATTAAAATAAAATATATAATGCGGTTTAAATATTTAAATGTCGAGATTTGAATTTACATAAGGTAAATGTACCAGTTAGTGGATATGATTATTGGGCAAAGTGACAAAAATTTTAAATATTGAGCTTTTAATAATATGTACAGCTCTAAATAAATTCGAAATAAATTTCTAAATAATTATATCAAATTTTTAAATGAATTTATTTCGAGTCGTATATATTATTAAAAGCTTAGTATTTAAAATTTTTGTCCAATAATTCGGTTATGTCAACTAACTGTCTACTAATTAATATATATTTATTCAACACATTTTAGACGCGAAAAAATGTATGTTTTGTATGTATAATTAATATTTTTGATAGATTATTAAAATACACACACACACACACGCACACACACACGCACACACGCACACACATATATATATATACAGGGTGCGTCACCAAAATCCAGACAAATTTACATTCATTTCAATTTAAATTTGTCTGGATTTTGGTGACGCACCCTGTATATACATAATGAGAGCAAAAAGTATTTGCACAAGAAAATTTTTATTAAAAAATCTATCTGTAGAAAATAAACATTAATTAGCAATTTCATACAATGAATACATTCTGTTTTAACATAAACAACCGCTTCGCCGAGCTTCGCATGTATTTCTGATTTTGGAAGCTAAATTTCTCGACTGACGAATACTTTTTGATCATCCAACCAATACAATTTTTAATTTTCGTTTATTTTTCAGATAATATATTTTTTATAATTACACATCTTTTTAGTATATATAATTTTAAGAAAGTCTGGACTTATACAGTCCATTTTATTCTTTATGAAGAAATTGTTAATTATCCATCAAGAAAGGATCGTCAATTAAACGTCGAATCGACATCAAACTAGTGTTGAAATTGAAATTATCGTATCGATATTCATTCGATATGAATTCAATAATTCATTTCTTGTTGGATAATGTTTACTTTTTAAAAATAAAGTTTTTTTTAAAAAACATTTTCTCTGTACGAATACTTTTCACACTCACTGTATATCTCTCGGAGCTACTTAATTCTATCGACGTTTATACATTATGGACTTGTTTCTTAATTATCCATCGATTGAAAAAAAAATTTATTGAAATATGTCCATTTTTTACGGAAGATACGGTAAAAAATATAGAAAAGAGTATTCCAGTGTATATATCAATAAATAATCTAAAGTATACACGATTTGAAGTGTATATATCGATAAAAAAAAGTGTATAGCTAGGAATATACATACATATATATGTATATATGTACATGATGAAAATTACACAACATATTTGAATTAAAATTCAATCAAATAGATCTGTAAGAATTTAAAACGCTTTTAATTGTTCAATGTTAATCGCTATTTTAATCCTTCATTACTCATGCACATGGAATATCCAGGACACTCCAGCCTTATGCATATTCGCTAAATATACGAATACTATTTATACACATTATATTTGGCTTTAGCCAAAAGTATTACACATCTATATTTTTTCATTTATCTGAAATTCTTTTATTATTATATTAATTGCTATTATTAGGTGTTGGAATTAATTCGTAGCGTTTTACAAGTGATGGGAAGTACTTTCATTAATGTATTTTTTAATGCTCATGTGAAATAAATAACATTCTTTCATTAAAAACGCTACGAATTAATTCCAACACCTAATAGTTATTAGCATTATACAAAAATTTAAGAGATTTTTTAAATAATAATTCAAACAATTAGTGTCTTAAATCAATTTTTTCGCTAAAAAATTAAATAATGGTTAATAAAATATTTAATACTTTTAGCCAAAGTTGTATTTAGCGCGAATTTACAATTTTAGAAAGAAAAATTTGCATTTGTCTTTATATAAAGAATATATAGAATATTATCAATTTCTATTTAAATGTGAATCATTAAAGAGAATAATGAAAATTGAGATATAATGTTATTAACAAAAATACGCCATACGCGTGCAATTAATAATTACGTTTAAAAAAATCACACAAGTAATGTAGAATTGAACAATTATTAAAGCAAAGCGCAAATGTACAAATGTACAATGTCCGTTCGTCAAAAGCACAAGTAACAATTGAATAATTCGTTTATATTTTTCATACGCGACGTGCGGTTGGTAATACGAACGACGCTCGGCGAACGGTGAGGGAAAGGAAGGAGGGGGGCGCGCTGCGCGGTACGATGGTTGATACGTCATCACTTTGGCATTCGCGTGGCGACCTTGTAAAGGAATAGCAGCGGTACGAGTCGCTCCGTGCGTCGCATAATATTCTATAAAACTTAAACATTTTCTACGAATAAAAATTGATCATCGCTTATGATTTGCGACTCGTGAACGTGTCGAAGCATCTACTATTCGTCAAAGGTATACAGTTTACTATCACAGGCTCGAAATAGAAGTAATGATGGTGAAAAATTATGAATTATCGCGTATTGGTGATATTTAGACTAATATATTGTATTCTTTAATGATCAAATCACGAGTAACAGCATGTCGAGAGCTTCGTATATCACTTTCTATTTTCGGATCGAAAAAGTGATGCATGAATTTAAATTTATTGAAGCACCGGTCAGCGCGATTAAAAAAAGTCAAAGGAAAATTGTGATATATCAATTATTCAGTATCCATTAATCCAGGACTAGATGCCTGATTTTTTTTTTTACGCAAACGTATCTAGAGTGTTTTTACATCTCAATTAAAATCACTATTATTAACAACATATTGCATACGATTATTACAATTTATTAGTATTTGAGAATGTGGATATGATTTAATCATAATTTTCTAAAAAAAGTAAGAAGAAATCAAACAAATATTTAAACAGAATAATAACCTTAGGTGGCTAGTATTTCTAAAAATAAAAATTTAATTGATATAACACTTTTATATTGCGGATTTTCAATGAAAATGCGCAATATAACATTTAAAGGTTTAAAGAATAATTATTAAAAAAAAATATGTTAAACAATCCATGCGAAATAACAATTCATGTGTGAATAATTTAAATCATTCATGTAAAAACACCCTAGGTGATTATTTCCGAATTAATAATGTATCATATATTCGACGGGATTTACAAGTTCAAAATGTATTGTGCGTTTGCAATACTCCAATGCATGATTTTGTATAATATTTTCAGATGCCTCGTCACGTCTTAAGATGTTTTTATGTAATTCGCAAATTGCAAACGCAAATGCAGAATAAAGATTTGCGTTTATTTTTTCATTGCATGCGATTGTTTCGTTTGTGTGTGTGTATGTGTGTTTTGCATATGGTGATCGTTATTTATTTAGGTGTTACTTAATTTATTTAAGCCCAGTTGCACTTTGATTTTAAATGAGACTTAAAACTCTATCTGTCTCGTTTTAAAGCCAAAAAGAGACAGAGACAGAAAGAGTTTTCAGCCTTACTTAAAATCATCAAAATAACGTTGGCAAACCTTAAGTGTGAATTCACCCGCGTGACGTATCGTATCGCGCGGTATCAGTGTGAAGTTGCCGCCCAGTTCATCCCATCACCCACTAAATGGCGGCACGACGTAGCAACAAATAGATCGACTTCGAACTGTGTGACCTAGTGACGCTTCGCTTAGTAAGTACGGTCGCAAATAAAAACGTATATAAATAGCGAATAGCTCTAGCATTCTTATTATTCGTTATTTTGTGCAACACAAGCGTGTATTCTGGTAATTTTTGAAAACGAAGGAACAACGCAAAAGCGAAGTGGGCGCGAAACGGTCGACTTTGAGTTTTATGGCGTCATGACGCGTTAATTATTCGCTCGGTGAATACGGTCATAAATTCGCAAGTGAGACATATGTAGATAGCGAATAGATCTCGTGTTCTTATTATTCGTTATGTTTTGCTCAGCCCAAACGTGTATACCGGTAATTTCTGAAAACGCATTCGATCGAGGGCAGAAATATTCACGCCAAAACGATAATTTCTCCCAATTCACATAGCGCGAATATTTATTTTTAACTCATACTCGTGTCCCTTCTGTCGTAATACATTAGTCGCCATTCTGAAACACATGTGCCGTTTGTCCGTTACAGGTACAGTAATTTTCCGAATTGAAGCGAGGGGAGCAACAGGTGCAGTGTCGCGGTGGCTGCCCGATTTCTGAACATTCTCGTCTCTGCCAGATTCATGACGATGCTAACTGCGTACCGCATGAAATTCGTAAGACATCGCGATAAAAGAGTACGTATGCAATAAATACCGAAAACATCATCCGAAATATCACGCGATAATTAACTTATTTTTGCGAGTCATTGTGAACGTTCTGGCAAAGCAGTTATCCTGCTCGCCGAGCTATTAAATTATTGGTAAACTTCTTACTTATAAATCCAATTAACCAAATTCAATCGCTCGGCGAGCAGGCGAGCATGTTTTGTCGATCGACTTGAACACGGCTATGTTCAACAGAACGTTTATTTTGCAACTGTTGGAAGTTTTTTTTGCTGATTGGATTATACTTTTAAATTTAGACGAATAGTCCTATTTCGACAAAAAGAATTTCCAATTGTTAAATAATTCTGTTAAACGCGGTTCACATTGCACGAGCATCATACAAAAAAGCGAGGTAACGTTAGAGAAGTTTCATAAATTTAAAAAAGCTTGATTGTCATCAATATTCTCGTTTGAGTCGACAGTCGCATTTCTGATGTTTAAATTCATAAAAAAGACACGTAACAATTCGTGTTTCTTGCACATTTTAATTAGTATTAATTTCGGGAATGTCACGCAAAGTATTACGCGATTACGTAATATGTCTTTAATTAATTCAAATATTTGGATTAATTTAAATGTGTGTTTAGTGAATATTGTGTAACCGGAAAACCGAGGAGAAACCTAATAATTTGAGGATAGGAGTCAGAGGATTCTGAGAAGAGGAGAAGCCCTAGCAAATCATTGGCGGAGCAACTCTAAGGTGAGCAATATTTTTGATTTAGCACTTGGTACTCTTTTGGAATTAATTATTTATTTTCATGAAATAGTCGTTGTATTTCATAAAATTTTTAAGTATCAAATTAATTGATTTGATATATTGACAGATATCATAATTAAATTTTTTAATTTATAAGGTTTTACATAAATTCTATAATTAAAAATATTTTTCATGAAAGTTGCATAATTACTCTACAAATTTCAATTTCAACCCTCTAAAACTTTTAGAATGAATTTCACTTTGGAGAATGAAATTTCTCTCTTAAAGATTGAAAATTGAGCCATTCTTTTTCGATTCGACTCAATTCACTCTTTAAAAATGAAATTCTACTCCAAAGAATTTCTTAAAGAGAAGATAAATTAATAATATTGTAAAATTTAATACACGTAATAATAATTTTCTTATTAATATACTAATTATTTTGAACACTTGAAAATAATATTGTAATTTGGATATCTTTTTATGTTTCAGATTAACATAACTACAGTGAAGTTACAACTCCGCTGTTAAGCATCATATCTGTAAGTGATATATTATCTTTTATTTTAAATCGAGATAATGGATCTATAAAAATTATATGAGTTGTTTATTACATGTAACGCAGATTTAGATTTGCGTATTAATTAAATTCGTATTTCATAGATCTGTTGTTCTAAGATGAATGGGTTTAAATAGATTAAAATCAATATTGAATTATGCTGGATAAAATTATAAATTTATTATTAATAATTTATTTTCAATATAAGAATGTATTTTTAATCTATTATGACTTCGTAATATAACAAAATAAAATAATAAGTTCTATGTTTAATATTCCATACAAGTGCATTCTTGTATCGAAAATAAATTAATAATAATAAATCAATTAAAATATTACAAAGTATTCTGTAAAACATGTAAAAATTTTAATTTTTTACTATATTTAAAATCATTTTTTCTTCATGAAACATATGTAAGTTTTTTTATCAAGCTTTAATTGCAAAATATTTTTTATTGTTGCTTTTATTTATACTTATGAATTTGTTTTATAAATTTTAAATAATTGATATATCTTAGAATATATATATATATTTTTTTTTTAATAAAACTCTAAAACGCATGTTAAATAAATGAATGCATTCTATAGAACAATTCTATAGAATTATAAACAATCAATGAGAAAATAGAATTAATGATAATAAAATTATTTAGAGAGCATCATTAATGTATTTAAGCTTCATGATATTCTTAGTTCACAAAAATCTTATCTACTACAAAGTATTCTGCAAAATATGTAAAAGTTATAATTTTTTACTAAATTTGAAATAATTTCTTTTTTATCTTTAAAAAAATCTTTAACTTTTTTTTATTGAGCTTTAGTTACAAAATATTTCCTGTTATAGCTTTTATTGATACTTGTGAATTTGTTCATAAATTCTAAATAATTGACATCTTACAATTTTTTAATAAGACATTAAAACATGTGTTAAATGCTATTCTATAGAAATAAACATGTGTTTTGGTATCTTAAAAATTCAATTGAAGATACATCAATTATTTAAAATTTATGAAACAAATTGACAAATATGGATAAGAAATATTTTGCAACTACAGCTCGATAAAAAATTTACAGACTTTTCATAAAGAAGAAATTATTTCAAATATAGTATATAAAAAATTATAACTTTTACATATTTTGCTTTATAGTAGATAAGATATTTAAGAATTAAGAATAAAATGAAGATTATTAATGATGTTCTTTAAATAATTTTATTAATATTAATTATATTTTCTTATTGATTGTTTATAAATAAGTAGATAATATTATAATTAATCCAATTTTTTGATTGAGTGTTTAAATAGTAGTAGAAGAAATAAGCAAAAATTCAAACCATAATAATTATAATAAGTATTCATATTTTTGGAGATATAAAATTTTTACGTTTAATTATTTTTTCTTTATGATGTTCGTATATCATTGATAGTAAACAATAAAAGATATTTATGTGTGAATATATAGAAAATTTTAAATATTTATTATAGATGTAATTTTTCTTTCTGTTTCTAAATATCTAGAATATAATATAATAATTATCTACATTGTCTTTTTCGAGAATTAAATATATTATATGCATCATGTAATATTACACGAAAGCAATAGTCAGAGATACCTCAAATATGTGTTATAAATAAAATAAATGAAAGAAAAATAAGAAATATTTATTATACGTAATATATTTTAATTAACATATTATAAAAGTGAGATGATCATTAATTATATTTTCTTACATGTATCAACTAATGTTTTATAATCCATTCATATTTTATTGATAATTTAATTTTGTATTACTTAAAAGAAAAATTATAATACATAAAACTTTTTCGGAATTTATCTAATAAGTACATGTTTCAGTAATACTAGAATATTTAATAATGAAATAATAACAAATTGTAAGGTATCATATAAAAAAATAATTATGATAACGTCTCGATACAGAGTTCAATATAATAACAATGTGTATCTCAAGAATATGAAAAATATTTTTGATATGTGATATATATATATATATATATATATATATATATCACTTATTAAAACTATTTTTCATATTATATACATATATATATATACGTACAAACATCTCGTTAGTCTCTCACTGAATTCTTTTTGAGAGAAGTGTGGCGGTATTATTTTTTTAACTTCACGATTTAAAATAAAACACTGATGCTACACAGCGATACAATCGTTGCTCGATGAACAATGGCATCAAATTCGTAGACTTTAATTTCAGTACATTATGTTCCAACAATGACTCGAATTACATCGTAAATCTCCGTGTGCCCGTAAACCGTCGTATTATATCCAAGTATTCCAGCAACAGAGTAATATCTGTATTGACTCCCGTGGTCCAAAGTCGAACAATAATCGATTCTCTCTCCGAAGGAGACAGTCCACGCGTTCGTTCATCTCCTCTCGTTCTCCGCGAAGTTGCTCCTTTACCGCTCTACTCTGCTTTATTTCTTTTCCCACAGTCAGCTCCCCGATCTTCGACTTCTGCTTCCGTCTATCCTACCTCTTCGGGAACTTGTACGATCCGCGGTATTTCATATCTGGCGTAAATCCAATCCTATGAATATAATTTTCCGCGCGAGCAAAGTTTTATTGTAATCGTAAATCCGTCTGTAAATTGCCCGGCGCTATCAATAACCGCGGTGCGGCGGTACAACTCCGTTTTGTCCCCCTCTTTGCTATCTTTCCAACCTCCCCGTCCTACCGTCACCACCATTCGCAGACTTCGATCTCTCGCCGTAATACACTGAGGTGCTTGGCGAGAGATGAGGATGAAGCTGGGGGGGCAGAAGGGTTAAGGGATTGTATGAGCTTATTCGGGCCAAAGGTGTGATGATTGAAGGTATAGATAGGTGAGAGTTGCCATTTTCGAAACGGCTTTTTCGCGAAGAAACGGCGCTACGTTGTTATTTGATCATAAGATCGAATGAGGACGATCGATTGATCTCATTCACTCGACGTCTTTATTAATTTGCCTGTTGATGCATTACTTACTAAATATAAATACGCTTTATCTTTAATCTATAAACTTTATGTTCTTCACGAAATTTTCCAAAAAAAACTAATGATCGATGATCATATTTTAGTTTAACAAATTATTTTTGCAACTTTCCGATTTTTCCATGGTTACATTGCTATTCGATTCGTCTGACTCTATTTATATAGTTACTACTTGCTAGGATAATTATGTGCACGGAAATTCACATTTGGACTTTGATGAAATGTTGGTACGAATATTAACGATAAACACAAATAATTGCATAATATTTCGAAATATCCATACATTGTTTATTTGTAGTATAATATTAGATAATTATATTATCCACAAATAATTTGTGGGGAAATCTATATACGTCAGGAATCTCTTTCGATTGCATAAAGTTAAATATTACGTATGCATTTAATATATCGTTAAGTGTTTGTAATATATTTACTTAAGACCGCGTCCCGATTCTCCTCTGACCAGCGGAGTCTGCACACTCCCTTGGAAAACGGCACCACCGTCGCCGGTCACCCTTAACATTTCTGCTCCCACGATAACTTGTTCTCTGTCCGCGGAAAAGAGCACGCCTCCTCTTGGATCAGTTATTCGGAAACCTCTAGACACACAGTCGACGCGATCTTCCCCTGGAAGTAGAATTTAATTGAATATACTCTGATTTTGACTGATTTTTAATCTGAAATATATCAGGAATTACAGAGAGTAAAAAAAAACATTCAGCATTTATACGATAGATAATACATATCATATTGAGTGAAAAAGCCTTAGTGAACATAGATTGAGAAAGTTCAACCATTTCTGAAATATAATCAACTTTGTATATTAGTTTCATAACTGATTTATTGTCTCTCTTCTGTGTTGCATATGATGTGAAAAAAAAAATTAAGATAAGTAAAACACTGATATCGTAATGACTGATTGATGTCAATTTACTGATTACTGATGAAATTTTTTGCTATAAAGTGTGTATGGAAATTGAATCAGAACATTTAAACGCGATTTTGTAAACACTGAAGTAAATCTTCACGTCGCACACGACATGTAGAAATTATTAAGTCAGTTATGATACACAATCGTTTGTATCTTAGAAATGATTGAATTTTTTTACTTATGTTCTCTGAGGTTTCTTTATTCAGTGTGTATTATGGTGTGTATTATTTATCATATACATGCTGAAATTTTTTTTTAACACCCTGCTTTAAAATGTATTAAAAATAATAATTATTAAAACTTTGTTTTTAAATTATATACATTGGTAAATTGAATAGTACTAACGGGATCTGTAGCTAAAAGTGGAAATATTTATCATTTTTTATATTTTATCATGCGAGATTCGCGAAGTTAACACGTTATATTTTTAATTTCGGTTTTTTAGTATAAAAAATGTGGAAGTCTTTTTTATTTTTATAAGGAATTGTATAGAATTATGAATAGAGAAAGAGTACTACTAGAACTGTTTTTTTTTATTATTAATGTTATACTAACTTTTCAAATCCCACTTTTGGGTAATTCTAATAGCATTTTTTTTCATAGTTCTGCAGTTAAAAATAAAAATAAAAAAGAGTTATACATTTTTTAAAATTAGGAAATCAAAATTGAAAAAATTGTAGCTTCGTTTAATAATTATAGCGTATACTAGAAAAAAAAATTGGCTGCTGCAGTAAATTAGATGGTAAAATATGGCATAACATTTTTAATTAGTTGCAGCAGCTAATTTTTAGTTGCGTTAGCCTATCTGCAATGTCAACATAGGATTTCGATAAGCTAACGCAACCAAAAATTGGCTGCTACAATTAATTAAAAATGCTATGCCCTATTCAGCCAATCTTTTCTTTCAGTGTATAGATTCCTGCTAGTATTAACGAGAAATGTTGCTAGAATTGCGATAAATTATCAGCATGACACTTTTTTCTTACATAATTTTCTTTGAATTAGTAAAATAATTACGTAACGCGCTCAAACTGATTAGAATGT